TAAGAGAGCACAGAGTTGGACAGTCGGCGTTGTGAGGAAGTCTACGCTATGGGGCTGGACAACTTCTAAATCTGGAAGTTCAAATTTATTTAGCCATGTTTTTTTTTTGTTCCAGGTAGATCTTGGATGCAACAATCCAGATTAGATTACTGTAATGCACTCTACAAGGGGCTACATATTACAACTCCTTGGAAACTGATGCTAGTACAGAATGCTTATTAAGCTCATTTTCATGCTAGGAGTATTACACCCGCACTCCAGGATACACACTGACTGCCAAAATGTTTCCAGGTGGAATTTAAGAAAGATTGCCAACTCTCAAGCCAAAACTGAAGAGAATAAATTTAAGTTTTTAGTGCAAAGCCTCAAAATTATCTTTTTTTCCAAGTTTTTTAAAGGCTAGTAAAAATGTTTAATATTGCAATGTTAGTGACATGGCAGCACTCAATTCCCAGAAATTTATTTATATCAAACAAAAATCAGATGCACCAACATAACTGGGAAATCATGTCTCTCTGTAACATGACCATGTGTATGGGCACAGGAGAGTTAGTTGCTCGTGAAGTTTTCTTACATCTTCCCCAGAGTTTAGGTCCAGACATACAGGGGCAAAAAAGGTTGCCAACCTATACCACTCCCTAAACAGAAGAGCAAAAAGAGGGCATTTAGGCAAGAAGTGGCTGGAAACTTGGCTTTGCTCCCTAGCAGCAGCCTGAAGACTTAAACACATCCATTACCTTTGAAAAAAGGTGCCCAACTAGCTCCTGCAAGGGAAGTCAGAGATTCTTTCCCTTACTACATCTAGTACCACGCTGCCACATGCTGCCCATAGCAGGATATGTAACAAGTAACACTTATAACAAAAACATGATCATTAAAACAAAACGTCAATATCTGAACCAAACAGCACCACGTAAAAAGGATGCATATTTGAAACAGGATGTGTGCGTATTTTTCTTCTAAAACACTGTTGTTACACCATTATCTTTAAAGCAGTAATGGTAGTATATATACAGTGTTTTACATCAGTAAGCAGGAAGTATCTTATTCTTCCTTACAGATATGTATTCAAATGCACACGTAAATAGTTTTACAGCTACATATAACAAACATGTATTGCCTTATAAATGTAGCACTTAAATTAGAAAATCCAGTATTATCCATAGAAATGAGAAATGTTTCAAGAATAACACCACACATTCAACTATCCCTTTCTCTCCAGCATTTCTGAGAAGACTTGCAAAAACATTACCTAGTATTCATTAAATTGAATTGCATTTATGTTGCAATACACAGCACTTTCTCATCTCCTTAAAAAGTTAAAAATGCCCTCTGATGATCTGCAAGTTCATTGTTTTGTCAGTTTATTCTGTGGTTTCAAACTACTAGCAGTATGTTGGATTATGGTCATCAAAACCCACATGTTACATACAGATATACTGAATGGACAAAACGGGTTTGTATGGCACATGGCAATCAAATTGCTGCACAGAAGAATGCTGTATGGAATGGTAGGTAACAACACAGAAAGTAAAAAAAAAAGTAAAATCCGTGATTGAAAAATGTAAGCTAAAGCAATGAGTTGGGTTCACTCATGAATATCATTGACTCTGCTGTTCTCAAAGATTATTTTAGCAAGGATTTTGCTATGGATCTCCTATTTGCTTGCTTTACAATTAAACGTCTGCTGGGCTACTGCATTGTTCACAGAGTCTGTGGAAATTTAGGGACAGCGGTACAGGAGAACATCTACTCCAAGCTCAATGCACCAACACAAGATGAAATAAAGCTATTATTGTGGGCAACAAATATTCATCTAACCTGTTCTTAAAAATCTCCAAGAAAGGAGCTCCATTACATCTATATGAAAGAATGTCCACGTTTTCTTTCCACTTCCAGATTCATTAGACTCGTAGTGAAAAAGTTTCCTTTTTTTAATAACTAACCCAGTTATTTTCGGTTTAAATTAAATTTACCATTCCTACTCTTCTCCAGTGGGCACTGGAATACAATTGATCATCGTCTTCTTTACAACAACATTTTATGTATTAGAAGACTTATGTCTCCCCCTTAGTACTTTCTAGACTAAACAAACCCAGTTCTTTAAGCCTTTCTCATAGGTCATGTTCCCTAAAACTCCTAGCATTCTTGTTGCTCTCCTTTTGTCCCTTTCCAATTTGTCGACCTTTCTTGAAGCATGGTGATCAAAACTGTATACAGTTTTTTAGATGAGGTCTCACAAGTGCTCAAAAGAACAGAATAATTACTTCCTGCTTCTCTTCCAGTACCACAGCCATCCCAGAATTAGATCCAACTTCATTGCAATGGTATTCTATTGCTGCTGTATATTATGGGCAATCCAGGTTCCTTTTTCCATGCTACTGCCTCAGTTCTCCCTTGTAAATGGACTTGCGTTTACTGAATTTCAGATTCCTTTTTCTAGACTTTCTCTCCAGTTTATTGAGACGGGAGCAGATTATTGAGCAGTTTAACTGTCCCTACTATGCCTGCAGCTTCTTGCAACTTTCTTCATTATCAACAATATTCACAGGTTTTTTTTCTATTTAATCACTAAAATAATTTCTAAAAAAATACTCCTCAGAAGCATATAAAGGACAGGCCTCTTTGAAATACCACTGTAAACGTCCCTCTTGTCTGACAATGAGTAACGGAAAATTTGTCTGTAGCATGTTACTTGTATCACTTGCACATCCATTTCATGGTGTTTTCATACTTAATTAAATTAAAATAGTATTATTTATAGTTGCAGCTTTTAGTATTGTAATGCATTTTACATTACATATTAATTAAATTACAAACTAATGTATTTATTTGTGTATTACAAATATATGGTGGGTGAGTGTTAAAGGCCCTATTAATTCAAAGTTATGTCACATCTACCACTTTCTACTTCAGTCACAAAGCCAGTTACCCTATCAAAGGAAATTAGATTTGCTTGACATAATTTATCGTTGACAAATACAGGCAGACTAAATATAGGATGGGTATGCTATGTAGAAGTAATCTAGACCTGCATTCTGTTCTAGAGAGTCACCCAAAACTGTCACCGAGGAAAGAGCATGAGAATAAAGTGAGTATACAGTGATAAAAAATCTCATACCTTCAAGAACGTAACATAAAAACAGGTTATCTGGTCTAGGAGAACTGCCGGTCGATGATTAGGAAAAGGGGACAAGGGTGAGGCAAGTATAAAGTGATCTAATATACGCTGAGATAGATAGATGGATGGATAACCTCGGATGGATAACCTTAGATACAGTCTAATATAGACATCAAGCTACTGAAAATGAATAGTAAAAAGACTATTGGCTTTCTATTTATTAATAATTTATTCCATAACTTTCTAGGATCGGAAATAATGTTATTCATAAATTCCTATATTTTTTATTTGTAAAGTTAATAGTGTTTGCCTTCGTTGAACCTCCAAGTATCTCCTATATCCTACATGAAAGTTGTTGAACAGAATCATAAATAATTCAAACTGAGAACACTAGTACTAGTAAATACTGGTAAAATAGTTAGTATTTTACGTGCTCTGTCTTTAATCATGTAACCATTTCCATCATTCATAATCTTAAGTTTTTTAAGTTCTTGAAGATGTTTTGATACAGACTTTCATTATACTTCTTATCCATTCTATTCCCTGAATAACCTCTTGCAGTGCATTGAAAAGTGTCGCCTCCACTAATTGTTAGCTCTCTCACATTGTCTTGTCCCTCAGATTTTCTTCACAGGTTCAAGTTTCTTGAATTAGTTGAAACCAGTGTCTGTGTTTCAGTAACAGTTTGGTTTTACCCTTTTTTTCACATCTCTCGCCTTCATTCTGTTTTTCTCATTCTAGTCCTTGCACAAAGCCAAAACATTTTTTATTTCATGTTCATTTTCAGACAATTTTGCCTTCTTTTATAAACTCGGCCAACTTATCTCTATTAATCAGAAACAGATCTAAAACCAAGACAGCAAGTCCTTAATACCCTTCTACACTTTCTGAAAGAAAAAGTTATTCTTCATGTGTTCCAAAAACTTGAAAGATTCAGTGTTCTGTTATTCAGGTTATGGGTTTTTTTTAGTTGGTATCCAAGAAAATGAATTTTCTCATACTTACTAGTTCCTTTCTTAAACACAACTCTATTGGTCATTCTAAAAAAAAGTGTAATTTGCCTCTTTGTCTCCTATTCCCAATTACGTAGTCTATCATGAATCCCTGTTACAATTTCACCAATGTATTTCCCTTTTATTTCTACCCAGACATTATGAACTTATGAACTCATTTAGTATCAAACAATGAATCTTCATATAAAAAGCAATGTTTTATTTTTCCCTAGGGTTCTCTACCTGGAATAGTGTTACTTGCTTCTAAAGACTGTTTTTTCTACTGCCGATAAATACATATATGAATAACTTTCCTCCTTGTCCTACTGTGACAGAGGTCTTCCTAAAACTCCTGCAATTTTCAACTCTCACCCACCGCAGTAGGTTAAAGAGTCATGTAGTGAAAAGAAGTCTATCTAAAAATTTGAAAGTCTTCTTCAGGCCAGACTCCATCCACAGCTGACAAGCTCACTTTCCACTTAGTAAGCATATTAATTTGAAATGGAATAGTGCCACCCAGTATCAGCTAGAAAGACATGGCATGCTGGCAGTGTGGTTTACACACATGCATACATGTGTATACTTCTGAAATCACTAGTAATCACTAAGTAGGATATTTTCCACTGATTTTCAACTGAAAAAGTTGAGATATGAATTGCTAAAAATAGCTGCAAAACTTCTAAAAAAACTAGGGAAGAAAAATATAAGACACCAGACAAAAAGATAAAATGTTTAAACTCTTTCAGGGATGGAAATAAATACCAAAGCTATTAATTTCAGTTCAAACAACACAGCAATTGCTAATATTTCTTTGGAATATTTATTTTATCTTCAAATATCAAAATAGTAAAATTATAAAACTGAAGGTGAAAAAAGCGGTGACTAACCTGATCTGGAGAGGGTCTGTGGTTGGAGTGTTGTGGCCTCCCAGGAGACCGGTGATGGTGGTGGTGGTGATGATGGTGGTAGTGGTGATGGTCATCATCATAGTTATCTGCCATCAATTTCATTCTGTTTTGTGTCTGTTTAAAATGCAAAGGGAGACAATTCTATTACATGTTGGAATATGTTACTTAAGATCTTAGCTTTTTTTTTTTTTTTTTGGTAGCTGTGAGGATCTAACAATAGAAGTCCGGACTGCTGCCTCACATAGAAAAGGAAACAGAAATAGAAAAAGATAACAGTATGTGAACACATCTTCTATTTCAGTTTTCACATGAGTAGAATTGCACAAAGAAGTCAGAAAAGGACATGATCCAAGACGGTGTGTTCGAAGGGTGTCAACAAAGACATTCAAGTTTTCTAAATTCACTATTTTAGAACAGTTTCCTGTTTTTTCTAGTCCATTATTATGTCTTGCCAATTAACTTCTAAAATCTCAGTGAAAGGAATATTAACTGTACTTCAAATATTTACAGTTAGCTACTGAGGCCTGTCAATAATGATCATGAATAGTTATGCTAAAAGCTCTATTTTAGCTTAATTATTGTAATTGTACACCAGGACCACTCTGCTAAACAGTAAGCTAAAAGAATCTGAAAACTAACTGATATAGACACAGGCACTTAGAGAAAAAAGTGATTATGGAATTTGACACGTTACTGAATGAAACTAAGTCTTAGATATAGATCTTAAAAAAAAGATCATCAACACTTCAGCTACTACCATGTAAGGATAATAAAATCCATGTCTCCGTGAGATAATAATATATGTCATTGCTCTTTATCACTATTATAGTTATTCTATACCGTGAAATACATAGACTGGAATAATTTCAACCTTACTCATAATACCAAAAATATGTAAATTTCAATTACCCAATACCAGTGGATACGGCACTTATCTTTTCTGTTAGTAGGAGTGAAGGCTCTCCAGGCAAACTTGTTAAATTGCAATCAAGTTTTACTTATTTTTGCTCTAACAAAACCAAGAAGAAAATGTTGTCAACTCTCAAAGACCTCTTCCAAAATTAGAAGAATCAATTAGAGACATATGCAATTAATATCATGCAGATGACTGAAGGAAAGACAGCAGTCAACACATCTTAAAACGCCATCTTCAAAAATCTCACCTGAACCCTATAGGAGTAAGGTTGCTTTTGAAGGAGCATTATCTACTTTGTGCCAATTCTCTATGCAGACTTCATTTGAGTTTGCCAAGCAAGCAAGTAAAGATAAGAAACTGAAACAACTGCAAAAGCCACAGTTTATTTTACCCATGCTCCAAGGTAGCATGATTCATGCTAACTCCAGTGAGGACACTGGCTAAACACATTATGCCAGGGCTTTGCCCAAACTAATGAGTTCTAAAAGACCAACTTAAACAGATTAATTTAAACACAACTAATTTGTTAGGCTATGTTCTTATATTATTAGGTCTGTCTGGCTTCCAATTAGAAGTGCCCGTGAGATAGCTAGTGTTCCATAGCTAGTATGTGGTAAAGTTACTTTCAGGACTACTGTAAATTGATTTTCCTATGAAAATAATCCTATATCAAAATCTCTGTTAGAAAAATTTCACTGGTAAGTATATTTTAATAGAACATGTTAGAACTCGGAGATTGCTACTAAATTCACCAATTTTAATGTGCTTTTGCTAAAGTAGAAAAGAGATTTGGAAAAAAAGCAAATTATTCATATTACACAATATTTGAAGTATAATAAAATCCAATGTGAGGAAAACTATGAACCACAGGGATCGCAGGAAATCTTGATGGGTCTTTTTAGCAATTGATTTTTTTTTTTGAAATGTCACAAAGCTTCTCAAGCACTTCACATGTGATGTCAAGTAGAAGGATCATAGAAAAGTATTCTACAGGAGGGTATCTGTACACGGTTCACATAAAAACAAACAAACCAACCAATTAAACCAAAACCCTAAGGCATCTACAATAATAAGACAGAGAAACACACACAGATTGGACGTGCACCTCCTTCAGCCACTGTCAAACTCTTTTTGAGTATCGCTACAGCACTAAAATAGCATCTTCTCAGTGTGTCACAGAATAAATGTGACCACAGGTCAAATGGTGGAGTCCTTTGAACTGGAATTGCAGTGGCACTATATGATATCATTTCACACTTTTTAACACTATTTTCTGCACAGTTGGAACCATTTCATTTTCTCCATCCCATATAAGAAGATGGCAGTATACAGCTGTATGAATTGCAGCTATGAATTTCTACTGATTTTGCCAAAAGACCAACTCAATCTGAACCATCATAATTTTTCTGTTTGTCTTTAGCCTTAAAAAGGAAGGTCTTTTGAACAAAAGAGTAGAAGAGATGGAGAATTAATAGACAAATAATAACCCACTTACGGTAAACACTGTAACATCCCGCCTCTTTGGGGAAGCTCCTAACATTTTATTAGTTTATTTTCTTATCAATGAACAGCCTTAAATTTCCTACCTTTCAACTGTATTCCATAAAAGAATGCAAAAGTTAAACAAGATGATATATGCAATCCTAAAAGTGTCCCCTGTAATGAGGTGTTGGGGATTAAACATGTCATGGGATAAGAACTGTAAATGAATGATGTCATCTTTCTAATTTGGTGCTGAAATATAAATAAACCACTTCTAATGTTTCTTCCTTTTGGATGCCAGATTGCAGTAAAATGTGCACAAAGAAACGTTAATGCTGTAGTAAGCTTCCTTTAGTGTGTCTGTTCTGGAAGCAAAATATATAAGAAATGTGAAATGAGAATTTCTATTCCACTCACCTGATCATCAAATCATCCAAACATTTACACGACTTGTGATTGTCATTGATTTCTTAAAATTACTTCTGAAAATGATGTTAAATAATTTGAAAAATATTATTTTTAAAAGCTTTTTGGTTTTGTTAGTTCTTCCTTATGATAACTAATACGATTTTCAGGTTATGTTTGTCCTTGCTTTAGCCACTGCCAGAGTGCTACACTTCCACACTGAACTGTATTTTCCTGGTATAATTAGCTTTAACTTAAGAAGTACAAAACACGATATGATTTCAAACTTTTAAGAGCAGAAATTTTGAGGAGGATGAACATGAGGATTTCCAGAGGAGGAACAAAAGTAAAGCCATTCAGAGGAACAGTACAATCCATTACAGGTCCTTCTAACCAAAAACTTGTAACATTACTTCTCTTTGCTTCCCTTGTTAACTCTTGTAATCCTTAGTAGGCTTCAAAACGCCAGGTACATTTTTATTTGAGGAAGAAATTAATTAACCACATTGGAAATTGTTAAGGACCCCAGGGCTTTCCACCCCTACGCTTACATACAAGAATGAACACAAAAACACAGGAAAGTGTCTACATTTTAGGACACTGGTTTATCAGACAGACAGTAAATTCTCATGGTCTGGGTCATCACGTTATGATCACATTAGGACACTGCTTCAGTACTGACCACAAGGAAAAAATGCCACCTACTGACTTGGTAATGCCATCATTTCCTGCAACATCTTCAGCATACTTAAAAAAAATCATATTCAAGAACATTCAAGACCTTTTCTTATATTACTTTTGAAAGCACAACAGATTATTCAATATGAATTTCCTGGATGTTCGGGGAAACTCGTTCTTGGAATGTACAATTCATGAAAATTAGAGTGATGATTGTACACGCACTTAAACTGTGTCATATCTAATTTGCATCATATGTTACTCTGCACAAATTACTCCATATTCCCATTCTCTGCTCAAACCTATTATTATGGATATGGTTTTCCTGAAAATGGGTTTTCTCAAAATTTACATAGCCACAGCTCTGACAACAAAATTATCCTACTAACAGTGTTTTTTTTAAAAAATGCCTGGTGAACATTAGGCCCACACCTGAGAAGGAGCAGGTTTTAATTTAGATTTATATTAGGAAAGAAAAAAACATTAACTTGTAAAATGCAACAATTAATTAACTGCATCTCCTACAGACCATGTATAGCCTTTTTAGTTTTAGCCTAAACAGCTTCCTCAGATTTTTTTTCCCGTAAATTTATTGACTACATTCAATAAATACTGCTTCCATTTGGAAATAAAGGAATGATAGAGGAATTAAAGCACCTTAAATCTAGGTGCACAGCTATATTAACCCTCAGGGCTCGAAACAGTTGACTTTGATCATTCAATATCAGTAGTTTCTAAGCTGTCAAGGTCATGAATGGTATGTGTAACTGAATTTTTAACCCACTTACCAAAGAATTTATGATCTAGCACTGTAAGAAAACTGACAGATATTTTTTGTCCTCCTAAAATTCTGTTGAGTTTAAGGATCTACTGAAGTGAAATGAAAGTCTTTGATTGACTGGTAACAGACTAAATAGCTTAACAGCAATCTGTAACTGTAAAACTATAATATTAAAACTGTCTTTTAAAAAATATTTTAGCAAGGTGGCAATAGGTAACTATGCTTTGATCTGTCATCTGGATCAAGTTAACAACAAAACTCTCATGAATGAGGTTCAAATGACGAAAAATAGTAAGATTTGTTGCTCTGGGATATAGGTGTAATACCATTCAATAGCTATTACTTTCCTTTGGATTTTCTTCTCAATCTCTCTTCACTAAATGGAATTTGAAACATTTCTAGAATATTTACTTTCAATAAGGTAGGGTTTTTCCCTATGTAATATGGGAGGGAGGCAGATACAAGGCCTACAAGCTATCCTAGAGATATCTTGTGGTCTAATTATTAAAGCATGGAATTTAAAATCTAGAGACCCACATTCTAGCTTTGATTCTGTAATGGCCTCTTGTTGTCTTCAGTGACACAGAACCTCTACCTCTTGCAATCTCACTAGTTGAAACTAAGCATGCTAATATTTCCACAAAGCACTTTGAGATCTTCATGTGGCAGCCGTTTCATTCTTGCCTTCCTAATTTTTACTACTATATGATTTAATCTGAGCTTTTTTTCCTAAGACAATTTCAGAAAACACAAAAAAAATCTTCTAACTTTGAAATCCAGGAAGTAAAGATCTATAAAATTGTGTGTTTAAAAGTCTGTATTTCTGGATATCTGTTAATTGGCCATTGCTTT